GATGCGTATGTAATGGGCAAACAGCATCGCGCATTGCGCGGTGCGCTGCCTCTAGTATATATATATATATATATATATATATATAGATAATTTCGGAAATCGATAATTCGGGATTCGAAAAACTTTAATTTTTGGTCACTTCAAATATAAAATACATAATAGGGTAAATTACCAAAACCCCCCTGAGGTATGGTCAAATTACAAAAATCCCCCTCTTGTTTGGATAATTACATCAACCCCCTCAACTATGATTTTTTCTTAGACCTCCACCTTTATGGTTCCAAATTCAACATAGTCATCTAGATTCCGTGAAATGCGCTCTAGTTTGTACTCGTTTTGTGTAAAAAATACAGTTTCCGATGCACCACAAACTGATATATACAAGCTAAAAATCACATATTATGATCATCTTGCTTCATAATGTAGAGTTTGAATGGGATAAAACGGGTACAAAAGTGATAATATTCCATATAATCTCGAAGATTCCACCAAATTTGAGGAGTTGAGGGGGTGGTTGTAATTATCCAAACAAGAGGGGTGTTTTTGTAATTTGACCATACCTCAGGGGGGTGTTTGTAATTTACCCCACATAATATTATTAGTATTTTGATTTTAATATTCTGAAAAAAAAACCCGAAATTTTTTCGGAACTTAAATCTGATAAAAAATTGGAATCTCAAATGTATTCCAATTCTGATCCAAATAATTTCAGAAAAATCGGAAGTCGGAAAATTCAAATTCACAATGAAAAATATTGTTCCAATTAGAAAATTTCATATCGAAATCATTGAAAATTCCAATTTCCACCTCTAACAAAGATAACAATTATAAAAACCTTCTTTTATATCACAATACTAGTTAATGAGATCTTTTATTAGTACTAGGCAGGTGCACGTGCGTTGCACATGTCGTATTAATTTTACTATATATTTGTTATATCTACATTATACTTGAGCGTTTTCAAAAAAATATTATTATACATATTTAATTTGTCTAAATTATATTTTGAGACATGTTAAACTTTTTTCACTATATATAATGTGTTATGTAAGGGTGCATTTGAATGGAAGAATTTAATTTGAGGAAGGGATTTGAAGGACCATTTTGAAATTACTCAAATTTGGAGTAATTTGAAATCCACTCCAATTGCTCAAAAAACAACTAAAAAGATGGGGTGTGGATTTGAAATTCCTTGTCAAATCCCTCAATCCAAACAAGTGGAAGTAATTTGTTATTATGGATTTGAAGTCCCTCCTCAAAATCCCTTCATCCAAATGCACCCTAAGCAATTTTGCAATATTCGTAAATAATTTTATTTCTATCTTCATAGTTTGATTTTTGTTCTTTAGGCAGACAAATCATGTTCGAGGAAATAAATTCTTTTGAAACTGGTTTGGAGAAATTTTATGCTAAAAACTTAACTTGTATGTTTTGGGAAAATAGTTGGAAGGAAATTAAAGAACCAAACATTGACATCAAGGTACTATAAGAAAAAAAATGGCTTTAGTGTCACCCCAATTGTGACTGCATTAGAAGTTGTCACTAAATGCATATATTAAGTGATAATTATTTTGTTTGTTAATTAATTATTTTTATTGTCACCGTTAGAATTAGACACCCCATTGCTGACAAGTATAGTGACAACTTTTTTTGCCTAACTATGTGATAATTAGTGTTGTCAGTCAGAACATTATTTTTTGTATTGAGGTAAACATTCTCTCATTTTTAAGACAATGTTATACTTGTATTTTTTCTTAATTATGTGCAAAAATATAATCAAGATCACTTTGTACCATAAATTAATCCAATTTTTTTCTTTCTTTGGTTTTTTTTATATAAGGACACTTTTTTAAATATTATTATCATTTTTTTTTAAAGTTAATATGTAATTTGATTACAGTGAGCTTATTATCATAGATCATAGACCCCATAAATAGTATTACCACTTTTTATTTTGTTATGTAATTTGATTACAGTGCACTCGTAGGAATCCACATATCTTAGATCATAGACCTCGTATACAAATGTATTTCATATGCTATATCCCCAACGATAATGTACCCAAAAAAAAAAGGGGGTTATTTTACATATCCCCCTAGCCACCAAATAAACTAGGGATAAACCCAAGCCCAAATCATCATTTGACATACCCCCTCGGGACGCAAAAGTATTATACTACCCTTATGTGCAATTTTCGGCCAAACTGCATTCAGCATTTATGGTCCTGCATTTATCATCTTCGCTGATTTATTTATTATTATTATTATTATTATTATTTTTTTTTTGTTTTTTTTTTTATAAATCTGTTTGTTAAATATATATATATTTTTAATTTTTTTTTAAAATAAAAAAAATTATTTTTTTTTTTATTTTTTTTTAATTTTTTTTTAATTTTCAAAACAATATGTTTACAGTACTGAAAATAACTACATGTAACTACCTATAGTAATTCATAGTTATGTTCGTTTTTTTCCCATATTTTTAGTCGATCAATTGTATACACACACGAATACTGACTTGTACAAAATAAATTCATAAAACCCCAATAAAAATTTACAAATTTAAATATTTTTATTATAAATCACATCAGAACCAATAAAATACAAAACGAAAATACATAAATATACGCATATATAACTACATGTAACTACATGTTACTATAGTAATGTATAGTAATGTATACAGTCTGTTGAACAGATCTGATGTAACTTAAAAAAATAAAAATTTGACACCTTCAAGGAAAGGATCAATGGCCTTCATTAATCTGCAATTGCAAAATCAAAACAAAAAGAAATTACTTTAGTGCAAATCAACAAATTTGAATAAAAACATCAAAACACTCAAAAATCACCAAACATTATTAAGAGATCGAGAGATAGAGAGAGAGGTTATTGCTGGGAAATGCAAAAAAATTATAGAAATAAATCTGAAAAGATAAAAATAAACGAGATTACCATCAAAATATAGATCCCGACGAGAGGAATCCAACGGTGGATGACCCGTCAAATTTCGACGGGTGGAACACAAAATAAAGCTCCGGCAAGACCACCGTATTCGAATGAAAAAAAATTGCAGAAACAGATCCGCGCTCGAAACTGAATGAAATCACCACCAAAAGAAAGAGTTCGACGAGAGGAATCCAACGGTAGTTAAACCATCGAATTCCGACCACCGGAGAGAGAGTTATGGCTCCGAGAAGCAATTTCGCCGGTGAGAGGTTTGTAGAGGCGGGATTTTGAATCTGGGAGAAGAAGAGAGAGATCGTGAGTGGCTAGGGTTAAAATTGATTTTAGAAGGGTATTATAGGTACTTCAGGGTAGCCCAGGGGGTATGTCAAAATATTTTCGAAATGAAGGAGGTTTCACCTAGAGTGTAATCCATTTGGTAGTTAGTTCTATATAATTTGGACATGAGGGGGGTCTACAAAATAATCCCAAAAAAAAAAAGACGTACATGGGAAAATAAATCTTCCTTATGCCTCTTTCACAGTGACATACTATAGTGTGTATGCATATGGTAAAAGAGTGTATATTTTTTGTATTGTTACTTACATTAATGTAATAAATTGGTCTAGTCTATGCTACAACCTCTAAATTTGATCAAATTATTTTCCATCTTTGATCGATTATACATAATCACAAATGTATATATAATATGTGTGTAAAATTAGTATGGACCTATACACATGTATAGTATAATATAATCCGGTCAAGTACATCGGGTAACATAGAATAAATCTAATAATTTTTTTGAGTAGCAATTTTCTTATTATTGATTTAATAATCAACTTTACAATAATCTGATCCAATGATGTCAATATAGTCTGACATTTGAAGGCAACGAAACATATATAATCTTTTGTCAACCTTTGTACACATCAACATGGTATCGGTACTAAAAACTAACCTTCAAAGTAAATAATTCTAGGTGGAAAAAGTAAAAAAACGAACAACACGATTTTCATCTCTCCATAAAATAGTAGAGAAAAAATATATACTATATCGAGTAAAGTGACTACAAAAAACATACCTCAGATCTTGTTATGTGATGGTTTTCATCCAGATTAAGGGGTTATATTGTTTGTTCAATTTTGAAAGTTTTTCTCGCTATGTGCATGAAAGAAGAATACCAAAAGAAAACGATTAAACGTGTAGGGTGCAGGCGTGCAGTTAATAGTGCAATACGTACGTATTTCAAGAATTCCATTAAACTGTTACAACTTTCTTTCATGTATTAATTAGCAGAATACTTAAATCATTTTTACTCTAAGAACAAATGAGATTTTTCATTTTAACTCTGTGATATCCGCATAGTTTAATTTATCTAAATAAATATGTATATAATGATATAATAATTAATTAAACATTAATATTACATGCACAATTTGTCCATGATGCTTAATTTCATTAAATCATTTTTTGATACATAAATAACTTCTAGCAATTTTATTCTCTGTTTTCTGCTATTTCACCAACATCGATAAATTTAATAATCGGATTAAAATGATAAAATGTTATAAGATAAAGAAATATTCATTCTCATATATATATGGTCTTAACTTTTTTTTTTCTTTTATAAATAATATGATATCGAACATCTCAAATATCTTGCACATGACAACTTGAATTCTTGATTTACTTAATTACGGAACAAAGTATTACCATTAATTCCTATATATTCTTACTGTTCTTTTGAATTTACAGTTGGATCTTAATAATAGCTTCAGTAATTCAAAATCTAGTTGTAGATGAAAATATATTGTGTAAGGTCATTGTATTTAAAATTTCTTTAAACGGTGATTTGGAATAGTTTTAAACGGTTACAAATAGGATGTTTGCAAATTGTTATTTTTATTAATTAATATGATATTACCTAACTATCCTTGTATTCCCTTTTTTTTTTTTTTATTATCTAGTGTAAAGGGTTTTTTGGTCCTCACATAAAATGGAAGAAACTCAACTAATATTCCTCCCTTTATAGTATAGATATAGATATAGATATAGGAGATCTTTTACAACATTCACTAATTAATGAGACTTACAAATTTGCTTTTGTACATAGAGAAAGGTCAATAGACATGACCTATTCATATTCATCACTTACACAAACAGCTAATAAACTCGGGATTAATCGACCATTTAAAATATCCACGCGGTTTTTGCTCCGTTTTCCTCGGCGACTAATTTGCTGAGGTGATCCATCAGTAAGTTGAAGTCATCGTCGCTCTTCAAAAGGCTGAGTCGAACATAACGATCTTCGTCACTGAACAAGCTACCTTCCCTACCGATAATATTTCCTGCTCGAAGGACTTCATTGCAATTTGTGTCTTCTTCTCTTTCACATTTCACCCATGCATAAGCTGCCATTAATAAGAAATAGCATGGGTCCAATTATATCTTTGATATTAGAATTTTGAGTTTATTGCGTTTGGTACCCTTATATTATATCGAATTGCTAAAAACTTCCAATGTTAAGTTATTTATTAGCAAAAACTCCCTTATAATGTTGGGATATGGTTTGAGATTTAATAAGGGTAAATAGCATTTAACCCCCTCTGTGGTTACAAGCTTTTGCAGATTACCCTCATGTACTCGTAATATCAGCCCATAACTCCCTTGTGGTTTATGGGGGATAACTTCCGTTAGTTTTTCCGTCAAACTTAACCACGTGTGTCAGATTTCAAGGAGGTCATCTGCAAAAATGAAAAGGAAGATGAAAGCACAAGGGGGCCATCTGCAAAAAAATTACTTTGACGTTTGACACTAGCGGTTAAGTTTGACGGAAAAACTAACGGAAGCTACCCCATCAACCACGAGGGGGTTATGTGCTGATATTAAAAACATAAGGGGTCATCTGCAAAAGCTTGTAACCACAGGGGTTAATAATTACCTGGAGATGGTCCTCTAACTTTCTCAAAGAAGTTGCAGAACAATGGCGGAATTTCTTGGATGCTAAAACGGCTCGACAACGACACAATCTCACTTAGTTTTTTCCAACGATAGCTCATTTTCTTGTACGCGTAATCGAAAATGTCGGTGCCGTTTCCGTCAAGAATAGCTTTCATAAGCTGCAGAGCCCTAAGTTGAGCCTCTCTTGAAATCCCCATTTCCGATACCGATATATATGTGTTCATATCTTCGTAGACTTGTTCATCCTTTATTAAAGCCCATCTGTGGAAAATAAATATATCATCGTCAAATATCGTAATATTCTTGTCTATTACCGAGTCATTGTACTCTTAAGGCTCGTTTGGTTGTGAAGATAGGATTAGACAAGATAAGATTATGCATGCAGTCTTATGAGACCATGTTTCGGAACTAGGATTAAGCTTAATTAATGGACAATATTTACGGGTGCGAAAGTCAAATTGCATAGTTTTGGATTACGATGTCTAATAAACATTTTTTTCCAAAATTGAACTAAGATTTTCGTTCTTCCCGAAATTTTCGAGTCGATGCGTAATTTTTAGATTGGCCCGAAAAGTTATTGAACTAACCAGACATCAAATAAAGCTCAGTTAGTTAATTAATCACAACTTATCTTGTCAAGAAAACGAGTGACCGTGCAAAATTACTTGATTGTTTATATACCTTGATTTCTCCATATTAAAATCGTGAAACGGGGGTTTTTATTAAAAAAAAAACGGGTTTATATATTCTTACCCGATTCTGCTTCCGGCATGACCGGTGAGTTTGGACATGGTAAATATCATGACATCTTCATTAGCTGGGGATGGAATTGCACTAAAATGAGGCCAATAATAAGCATGATCGTAAATAACTCTCACTAACGGTCCTTGTGAAACGGCCTCCTTTAGATTGCCGTCCGGATTATTTGGTGACGTCACAAATTCGATCACGTTCGCCTCAGTGTTATACGATGAATTACTCGACAATGATGTGTCTTCGTCAAACTTGAAGCGCTTGTTTTCGAAATAATTTGTTTGAAATTTGTAAAGCTGAAAATAGAAGACGGTATACGAACTAAATGAAAAATCCCGGAAAACAATAGTAGCATATGATGGCAAGTAGGGATTGTAATTGGATGGACTGGATCGGAATTTTAAAAAGCTGAAATGTTAAATGTCGTTTCAATTTTACTATTACAGTTTTAAAAATCGAACATGATTTTGGCCATTTCTAGGTTGATTTTGGCATAAATGAAAACATGGGAACTTTACTTATTTCAGTTAGCTTTCTAATCCAACTTTGAACCAGTTCGACTGAATGTCGGGTGACAAAAATATGCATGAATGAGTAAAATTTTGAATTTTACATGACCTAAAACATCAAAGTTGTGGGCAGTGTTCATTAATTCATGCGTACTATTTTAGGTAGAAATTTAAATTGAATCAAAATTGAAATTTCCAGAAAATTTATATACATTCGATTCTAATCCAATTCGAAAAAAAAAAGAATTATAATTTTGATTGTTAACGGCAACGTACCGGATAGTAAGGAGAAGATGCAACGACGCTTGCAGGCGAAGATAGGTTCATTGAAAGAGCATACACAGCTGCAGCAAGGAGTTGTGTGGAACCGACACCAAATAATACGTATTTTCCTTTTGTAACTGCGTTTTTTGCTACTTCGTGTACTCTACGAACGTGGTTTTCGAGTTGTTGTGAGATGAAAGATTTGTCGTAAAATGTGTAACTCATTCGGTGCCAGCCTGAGATAAGAACTGCACTACTAGCTGCATGCTCCATCCAAAATGGCTCCAAAAATAATGGATCCCCACTGCAGATATTGTCATTTTCAGACAAATAAACACAAATTTAATCATCTTAATTAAGAGTTTTACTTGAGAAAAATGATTCAATAAAAATGAGAAAAGTAAAAAAAAAAATCAAGAATTGAAAAATTAAATAGTGAATTTTGACAACATATGCAGATATTAGATGGAAAAGCCCTTGTCATTATATTATATCACTCTTGGGTAGGGGTGAAAGCCGGATATATCAGATTTGGAATTAGTCTTTTCTCAAAAAAATTAAAAAAAATTCGGAAGTACAAAATTAATTTTAATTTCAGTTCCAATTTTTTCGGAATTTAAAAATTCATTATATTTTCAAAAGGCCCAGAAAATTTGGAATTTCGTAAAAATTTCGAAAATCACGTACGTTTTAAAATTTCAAAACTTAGGAACATTTTCTGAAAAGTTTATAATTTTTCAAAAATAAGAACATCCACATCGATAAAAGTAAAACAAATAACTACTAATTTCCAGTTCAAAATAAATAAATAAAAATAAACCACATCATAATATTCAATAAAACTTTTAACAACAATTCATTATGTCAAAATCCTAAAACAAAATTTCAATCAAATTACTGTTTCAGAAAAAAAAAAAAAAAAACTTAAAATAAGCATTCTATAATATTTCTTATTTATAGGTGTATTTTTCCGAAAAAATCGAAATTAATTTCGAAAATTAGATCGGATCGGGAATTGGAAATTCCAATTTTGTTTAACATAAAAAGATCAGAATTTCGGAACCCACAATGAAAAAAGTTATTTCAAAATCAGAAATTTTTGGATCGAAACTAATGCAAAATTCAAAAGTTTGTTCCAACTAGATATAATACTTTGATATAATACTTTGATACTTGATATAATACTTTGATACTTCTTGAAAAAAAATTCACTCCAACCACAAGTATCAAATAGAATATCAAATTTTAAGTATATGAATAATTATATTTTTAAATGCCACGTGTCAAATAGTGATAGGTTAATTGGGTGGTTATATTTTTGATACCTCATTTTCCAGGGAGTATTTTTGCACCTCGGGGTGGTTGAGTATCAAAATAATTCTCCATTTAATGCCTCCATTGGAGAAGGATTTTTTAATTTTAGAGCATCAAAATGGTAGTTTTTTAGTTTGATACCTCATTTAGTGCCTCCATTGGAGTTGCTCTTAGGCCAGAGTGGGGTCAACCGTCCATTAGAACAAAATTGAATTTGCAACCATGAACTAGAAGGTGCCCTTTAAATTTAACTAAGGGTTAATGAGACAAAACCCCCTCATTAAGAAAAATATTAGAACTAACCACCCCTCATTATTTTTAATAAGTCAAACCCCCTCCATTAGTGTTATACCAATACTACCCTCACATTTTGTATTAGAAATCAGCCCCCCCCACCATCTCTACCCGAACTACGGAATTCATATCAAATATTCATGGGAAAAAAAATCTCTCACCCCTAAATCACGGCAATATGTAGAATATCATCCCAATAATTCGCTAAAATCTACCCATGATCTATGGCCTTCGGTGGAACCCTAGTTTACTTCATTTGTTGGAAAAAAATTCACAAACGTGTGAATCGAGGAGAAGCAGACACAAAAACATGGTGAAATCAAAAAAATCGAATAAAGGTAGGCTGCTATGAAATCCGTTTTTCCTACAACATATAATTAGATTTCTCTGTTTTATGTCATAATACGACATATCTCCATTTTTTTTTTGTTTTCAATTTCAGCGACTATGAAGACTGCAAATATTCATCCATAGTTGCCTGTAAAATTGAAGTTGACTAAAAACTTCGTAGTTCACTATAATCTTCGTATGAATTTTTTTTTTATCAGAGTCCACAACAAAGAAGAGATCATTGTTGTCGAAAAAATTAAAAAATTACGGTCATATACACTCAGAGTTAACTATAAAATCGGATAGTTCACTATATTTTTTCCAGAGTCAACTATAAAAATTAGATAGTTAACTATAATTTTTACGATGTCAACTATAAAAAATTGGTAGTTAACTATATTGTTGCCAAAGTCAACTCAACTATAAAATCGGATAGTTCACTATATTTTTTCCAGAGTCAACTATAAAAATTAGATAGTTAACTATAATTTTTACGATGTCAACTATAAAAAAATGGTAGTTAACTATATTGTTGCCAGAGTTCTACAAAAATTGGATAGTCAACTACAATTGTTCCGATGTCAACTATAAAAAATTGGTAGTCAACTATAGTTTTCCATTAATTCACTGTATTATGTTTCAATTTAAGATATTATGGTGTTATAAAATGAGATGAGATGTAGAAGAAAAAATAAAGCATTGAGAAGATATAGAGAAACTAAAGAGAAAAAATGAAACACACGAGAACAGAGGAAATGAGGGAAGAGAAAGGAGAGAGAGAGAAGAGAGAGAGAGGAGAGAGAAGAGAGGAAATTGTCACGTGGAAGAGATGAGATGAGATGAGATGTAGAAGAAAAGATAAAGCATTGAGAAGATATAGAGAAACTAAAGAGAAAAAATGAAACACACGAGAACAGAGGAAATGAGGGAAGAGAAAGGAGAGAGAGAGAAGAGAGAGAGATGAGAGAGAAGAGAGGAAATTGTCACGTGGAAGAGAGAGAATAGAGAGAAGATAGGAGAGAGGAGAGAGAAGAGAGGAAATTGTGGAAGAGAGAGAAGAGAGAGAATAGAGGAGAGAGGAGAGAGAAGAGAGGAAATTGTGGAAGAGAGAGAAGAGAGAGAATAGAGGAGAGAGAAGAGAGGAAATTGTGGAAGAGAGAGAAGAGAGGAGAGAGGAGAGAGAAGAAAAATAATAAATGAACAACACGTCAAAAATGACGGTTGAGAAGAGAGGGGGGAGAGAGAGAGAAAGAGTGGGGAAGAAAGGACAAGATTGGAATAATAAACACGTGAGGGGGGTCTCACAATTCCTAATGTTAATTTTAGATTTTTTTACAAATGGTAAATATTAAAATGGGCCTGGACTCTATTATTTTGTGTATTGAGGGGGTTATCCCTCATTTTCCCTTTAACTAATTATTGCAAAAGTCAACTTGACTTTCATGATTCTCGTTGACCATCTATCATCTATTATTCCCTTTTTTTTCATCCTCTGCAATATATACATGAAAATAAATAAATTAATTATGAAAAAAAAAAAAAACCTGTTGGCATCAGCAGAACAATCAGGTGAGAAAAGAGAGCAATCAGAGCCACCATAGCAAGTGTTGCACTCACAGATGGGCTTTCCATCAACAATAAGTCCATCAAGAAAAGCTCTTCCATGCCCAGAGCAAGAAATTGATGCAACAGCTTCTGCTTCTTCAGCAGCTTTTAAGCTCCAACTCAGCTTCTGGCTTTTCAACTCAGTACCTAAATAATACTGATTGGTTATGAAGAAGAGATTAAGGGCAACAGAAGCCAATAACAACAAACTGTACCAAAATATTCTCTTCTCATTAGCCATCGGATATAGTTTCTTTTTCTTCTTTTTTTTTTTTCAATTATATATTTCTATACCATTTTGTGCAATTAGCTTTTTTTGAGTAAATTTTGTGCAATTAGCTGTTCAGTCTTTTTTTGTGGATACTTTATTCTGTTTAAAAATGTGAGTGGAAGCCCACGTCAAGTTTGACCCGTAAATTGTTCTGAAATTAAACAGATTCGATCCAAAATAGCATTTCAGGAAGTGAAATATTATATTAGTTCCAATTTTGTTTTTTCAAAAAATCAGAAAAAATTAAAAATCGATATTTCGGAAATTCTAATAAAAAAGCTTAAAAAATGGGATTTTTTGGATTATTATTATTATTATTATTATTATTATTACCTCTGTATCCTTGTATCCCTTTTT